TTGAAGGAGAACAATAAATTGCGCTCATCGATGTTTCCTTGATCTTTAGTCATGCTATCTCTCTTCCCAGCACCCTTAGGAAGCATGAAAACGATGTAGTTGAGAGAATTCCAAACATTGTTTGGAGTAAGACCGGCCGTCAACTTTAATGTAGGATCGCTTGGAACTGAATCTCCAGCGAGTTCCGAGGAGCTAATCTGCCACTCAAAATCACAAGTTGCATTTGTATCGATCATCTTAGTGACTTCTTCAACGCCCCTAACGCAGTATCGATTCAGTTTTCCGAATGATGAAATATTGTTGGTAACTTGATTCTGGTGTATCCCATCAAAGTTGGGAGCCGACTGTGAGACGGAGTCTAAAATCAAACTTAGAATTTCATCCAAATCGTTAAGGAGGAAAATAAAGTTTTTAGGTTGATATCCAATCACAGAGTGTTTTAACCAATGATGTTGGGTAATGTGAATTGTGCTGATGCCGGTCTCATGTAAGCTGCGTATAAAAGAGTGAACTGGGAAGTCTATATTCAGACTCAGAACGTAAAATAAATCTTGCTTTGACAACGTAATCAGTATCTTGCACGCGTTTAAAGCAGGTAAGATCGTGGTCCCTGTTCCATTATTTTGAGGGTGATTGAACGCTTCGCTTTTACTAACAATCCGTACAAATAGTGCGTAAAAGAGCACTTGGAACTTCATTCTGATGTAATGAAAGCTGTAGGTACCTGCTTCGGACAATCTTCAGCCCTCTAAACGGAGATTTCAATCTCCAATCTGTTAGTCTATGATGGGAGTATCTATAACATTTTTTGTGCATTAACATTATTTTCATTCTCTGGAAGGGATTGTTTTAAGGGCGGACCTTGAACTCGTAGAGCTGAATCATTCTGATCGGCAAATATCCTTCGAATGATGATTCTCGAAAACTCGGGAATGCCCCGCGGGCCATAGAAAGCTTCCGGAAAATTTCACCTCCTTTCTGTCTAGTCTCAATGATTGCCTTTAATGTATGTATCAATCGGCAACTTGAGGTTAACAATCCTTAAATAATTATTTAGCCACTCACTCTGGAAAAATAAGTTTCATTCATTTAGGTGGTCCTTAGGTCAAAATAATCGTATTAATTCTCGTAAAAGTGAAACAACGAAGAAAAGCATTGTGAATGGTGCTCAATTTTTTAATCCAAGCAATATCTCGTGTGGTACCATTTTTATGATCGTTGATACTGTTTTATTACTTAAATTTCCTCTATTCTTTAAGACCCTTGATCGGGTAGGGATGGTAAAAAATTGAGTGAAAACGGAGGAAAACAGTGCTGAACATACTAATTATCTTTTTAAGTACTCACAGGTATGTCGAATTGAAAGCAGCCGAAACTTGTCACTTTTCTATAGCCGAAAAATAATAGAATGCTAAAGCACTCATTTAAATGTTTTAACTAAACGTATGCAACTAGATTTTCCAAACAGGAAAATCCTCGTGAGGCACTTGACCTACTGGACAATTTGTAAGGTAGACTTACAACTTCAACAACTGTCCCGTTGCCCCACAACTTAACGTTGTCAACACGGTTAACCGAACAGTTATCCCTTCAACCTGCATTTTAAGAGGCGTTTTAATTTCCAAAAATCCCAATGGATAAGTCTAGATGAAATATTCGATGGGAAGATAGCTCTGAATAAGCCAAGACTGCAGGCACATGATCAATATTTTGAATTGCTACAGTAAGTCTCAAGGCACCGCACACCAATAATATGTCTTACGGAGCAAATTATCGGTCTAACAGGAAAGTCAGAAAACATCCTTAAAACGTAGGAAGATTTATAGAGCGAAAATCCTTAAGAAAACATCCTTAAAACGTAGGAAGATTTATAGAGCGAAAATCCTCCTCAAATAAGACCATACGGCATTGGGATGGAAGAAACAAATGATGCAAGTTACCTCAGAAAACATAAATCATATTAGTAGTAAGGCTCAAACATTGATACGGAACCTGAGCGATAATTTAGTTACCCCAAATCAAGGCACAGGCATAGGTAAGTGGCTGTGACATGTGACAAAGTTGCCCATGATCTGCTACTCAATGGCTGAGCAAAAAAAGGACCCGAAAAAACGAAAGAAAGAAAAAAAGAAAAAAAGAAAAAAAAATAACCCAGAGAGCTAAGCATTAAGAGACCAATGCAGAGAAGGGAATGTAGAACAGTAAAGCAGCGAGTGCAGACGACACGCGAATTGAACACGTTCAAAACTGGAAAACAATTAAATGGATTTCCTAAAATTACGGCTTTTAATCGGCTTTTAACCTCTAACCGGCAGATCTCTGGTTTGGTCCGACATTTTCAATTATTTTTCTTTACGCTTACGTCCTAACTGCAATTCCAGTGAAAAATTAATGCCTCTGCAGTTCCCGGCCCATGACGCTCGATTCATTTAAGATCTGGGGAAAGGGAGGCGAAAAGATGGTTTCAAAAGTCTATCATGTGGTTGGCCGTATCTTTTTGATGGGGCAAACCCATTACGAATCATGCATACTTAAATTAATAGAAAATTAGCATCAGAACCGTGGAGTTTCAAGGCGTGACAAACTTTCACTACAATGTAATATTTGTGGACAAAGCAAGGTATAAATGCTCAAATATGGATCGCATCTAGCAAAATTGAACCAGCGCGATTACAGTGTTTTCAAAATCGTGCAACTTCTTCTTTCCTTTCAATAATACCTATTATATGTATACAGTATTAAAATTTGCCTGATTATTTTCCTTTAAAATTAATAGTTTTTTGGTAGGAAATAAAAACTGTTTGCTATTCTAAGAGATATTGTGGATAGTTCACTGGGAAAAAAAACACATTGGATCTAGAGTCCAGACTCCTGAAAACATTGACAAGAAAAAGGACCCTTGATCCAATCAGAATTAAGCTTAAATCAAAAGGAAATCCGCTCAAATTGAGAGGCTTGGTTCTTGATTTAAGCTTAAATCTGATTGAATCAAGAGTATTTTTTCTTGTCGATGTTTTTAAGAGTCTGGACTCTAGATCCAATGTGTTTTTTTTTTTCCAGTGTTATGAAGAAGCAGCATTTTTACAACCCTGTAATCGCGCTGGTTCTTTCTCGCTGAATGCGATCCATATAATAATGACTATTTCTGTACGGAGAATATTTTTTAGTCAATCTCAAAAATCATTAGCAAAAAAACTGTGTGCGTAAAGCTCTATGCTTCCTTCGAGTCAATTCCGTTTTCCTTGAATTTTTGCTGTGAAAAACTGCTCCGAACGCGAGGGCAATGTGACGCGAAGCACTTTTTCGAAGGATACCGACAGTTACTCTTCCTGCCCCTCGCTTTTTAATTAAAAAAGTCTCTCTGTGATTCAGAAATGAATTATGAGACGGAAATGGTCAAGGAGAATCTTCAGAATACTTGAAAAAAAATATTAATAAAAGTTAAGAGAGATTTCCTTCCAATGGGTATGCAGCTGAGTTATTAGCACTTGAACAGGAACATATCGGTTAAAGTTCAATGGAATTCCTTCTTGATGAGAATGCTCTTTGAAGACTTGGGCCAGGATAATTGGGATGTTAGCTCTTAGAAAGTCCAAAACAGAACAACTTTTCCGACACCAATGCCTAAAAGCAGTCTGAGTGGAGTGAGGAGATAAATATATTTTTCGTAAACTTTTTTGTAACTTGTCCTCCCTGCTTACAGACTTTATTATTCCCGAAATAAATCTCGCAATTGCGTTGCAATAACATTCCCTGCGTAGTCTCAGAAGCATCACATCACTCTGTTCCCTTCCATGAACCTGTCTTTAATCGCGATTTAGATAAAAAACCGAACACAACTTAACAAAAACATGCATCATATTTCTTCAGTACGTCGCAAACATCCATGTAGTTTTTCGGCTTTAATATGTTTTTCTGGGAATCACAGAGTTATTTGGTTGCCTCTTTTGTAAACCTTAATCGATTCAACTTATCGATAAGGAATCATTGCCTCTCTTATGTACGGTTCAGTTGCGCTAATCACAGAATCTTTTTTTGATAGTTTAGCTTATACATTAACGAAAATGAATACAATCGGTCCAGACGTGGAATGTCTACGTCCAGGATCAACGGAGTTCTCGTTCATCAAAAACTACGACTTATGACTTTTGACTTATGTCCTCTACAGTGTGTAGTTTTCTACAATAATGATTTCATTCTTTTCATGGTTTCTCCCTACCACAGTACCTATATAGGGAGAGTACGGACATGTCGGTAATATTGAGGTTAGATCATGGAGCTTTTAGGGTTTGTTTCGTAGACTACACTGAAAAAAAAATCTCGGTGTATTTACTAAGAAAAGGGTAAAATTACCAAGAATTCAGGGTTCTATTTGATCCCAGTGTTTTCTTGGTAAAATTACCATTAATGGAATTGGTAATTTTACCGAGAAATCTCGGTAAAATTATTGAGCTTTCTCGGCAATTTTACTGGACCTTGGTAAAAACGCCAATATTTTTTATCGATTGTGGTAGAATTACCGAGAAGAAATGGCAAAGTTACCGGGAATTGATTACTAATAAAATTGGTATTCTTACCTAAAAAAAAAACAGTAAAAATACCGGTTCTTAGGTAAGCTTACCAGTCTTTCTTGGTAAAATTACCAATAATTGATAAAAAGTGAGAGATGATAAAGGTACCAACGGACCTTGGTAAAAACCCCGAGAATTTTTTTTTTAGTGTAGGATTAACCTAGTAGCTTGGGAAGCATGGGCGTAGCTAGGGGGGTCCTTGGGGGAAATACGGGATCCTCCATTCCTCACCCCCCCCCGCTCTCTTCACCACGAGAGGTGGTCCCATGGCCCCCCCAGAGAAATTTCCTAGCTACGCCCCTGCAACACCCCCCCCCCAGAGAAATTTCCTAGCTACGCCCCTGTTGGGAAGTTCCCCTTGTGAGACTAGATGATACATTGGCTTGTTGAGGCTAATCATGTGCGTTTGAAAATATGTTTCAGCTTATGGACGAGTGCGGTGTCCTGCGGGGATGAACGGGAGCGCGGTGTGCAACTGCACGTCGGCGTCGGGCGAGGCGTCGGCGTCGTCGGGCGGGTGGGAGGGCGGCTCGACGCTGCTCCTCCTCCAGACGGCCTTCTTCGGCTCCATCGTGGCCCTCACCGTCCTCGGGAACCTCCTCATCATCCTGGCCATCGTCCCCAGCTCCCAGCTCCGCTCGCCCACCCACGCCCTCATCGCCAACCTCGCCGTCGCTGACCTCCTCCTCGGGGTCACCGTCCTACCCTTCTCCGCCGCCAGGGAGATCTACGCAGGTCAGTTTATCACCCGTATGTCTTCAGAGAGAACAAAAGAGTCCAAAGAGAATAAAAGAAGGATCTACAACGCGATTGTCAAGAGCATAGTAACCTACGGGTGTGAAGTATGGCCGATGAAACAGCGGACCCGGGAGGTTTTAGAGACAACAGAGATGGACTTCTCGCGTAGATCCGCTGGTATTTCCAGAAAGGATCGCGTCAGGAATGAGACGGTACGGGAAATCATGGATGCCAAGCAGACCATCGTGCATGACATTATGACTAAACAACTGATTTGGTATGGTCATGTCCAGAGAATGGCAGGAGACAGGTTGCCAAAGAAGGTCCTTGACTGGGTTCCTCCTGGGAGAAGACGCGGAGGGCGCCCAATGAAAGGTTGGAGGGAAGGGATTGAAGCGGAAATGTGAAGGTGCTCAATCCCCCAAGATTTGTGGTTTGAAAGAGAGCAGTGGAGGTTAGGAGTCGTAGAGCGCGAGGGAGTGCTGTAAAGCGACTTATATGTATGTATGTCTTCAGAAGCGGATCTAGCAGTTTGGCAACACCGAATTTCCTCCATTTTAACCTATGCTATATAATCGATTCTTGTCGGAGCACCTGGCCCCACCCCCCAAAAAAAATCGATACATTTCGATAGTTTAAATGGAGGAAATCGGGTGTTGCCAAATTGCTGGATCCGCCAATGCATGTCTTGAACGTAGTCAGAAATCTCCAGAAGCGGATCCAGCAATTTGGCAACACCGGATTCCCCTCATTTACAGCTATGCTAAGTAATCGATTCTTGTCGGAGCACCTGGCCCTGGCCTCTCCGAGAATGGAGAGGTTGCATGTGTTAGGGATTTGCGATTTGACTGTTGATTTCAAAGTAAAAGTTCGCGAGAAACACGATGGTGCCACTGGTTTTCTCTGAAATCAACCCCCAAGCTCAAAAAAGCTCTCAAGTTGAGGCCAAAATGGAGGGGATATCCCAAGCTACCCTGAGAGTCCACCTCTACATCAAGACAAACTCTCCATGCAAAGATAGGGAGCAAATACATTAGCAGGGTTGCCGTGTTTTCAATTTTGGAGTCCCAAAATAAAGTGGCAGCCCTGTCAATGTATTTGCTCCCTATCTTTGCATGGGGAGTTTGTCTTGATGTAGAGGAGTACTCCCAGGATAGCGTGGGATATCCCCGGCCATTTTGGCCTCAAATTGAGAGCTTTTTTTGAGCTTGGGAGTTGATTTCAGAGAAAACCAGTATGGCACCATTGTGTTTCTCGCAAACTTGTACGTAAGAATTAACAGTCAAATCGAAAATTCTTCACAGATGCAACATCTCCATTGAAAAATTTCCGTAGGTTTGAATGGAGTAAGGACATGTTGCTAATATGCGGGATCCCTCCGATGGAAATCTCCGGCAATGGAGCTCTTAATTACTTAGGAACTTCTTATTGGCGCGTGCTTGTAGTACATGAAATTCGCTGGCTTAATTGCGTTTTTCCTTAGCACGGTAGTTCCTTAGAACGGTAGCACTACCGTGCTAACGAAAAATGTCTTACGAGCATTCGAATGTTGCCAAATTGCCTCTCAGAGAATTTTCTGAAGACAGTTATGCATATTTTTCCTTACACTTTACAGAAACTTTCGATCAAATCAGTAACAAAATTCTTCAAAAAATGGGAGTACAAAAGTTTACAAATATTCCGAAAAATTCGAGATTTCCCGAAGGAGATTTGGCAACGTTTGAAGGCTCATGCGGCGTTCCTCCTTAGTACGGCAGTACAGGGGGCTCGTGGAATGATAACAGTTGCGTTGCGTGCTTTGCGATATATCGATTGTCATGCCATTTAAACCTATGGAAAAGGATGATAAACAGGGCGCTCGCAGCGAAAACCTTAATAATCAATTCTTTACCATAGGTTTAAATGGAATAACAATCGATACATCGCAATTCACGCCACGTCACTGAATGATAGTGGGGATTTCGTCGCTCCTCCGCGTATCTGAATCTCCGCGTGAGCCCTGTTTTATATGTAAAGCCATGCTTCCTGGGGCTCATGCGAGAATCGCGATACGCCCCTATACGCGCGAGGAGGGACGATTTATGGTGCATAAAAGGGAATAACGGGACTCGAGGATGAGCATCCCCGCCGAACACCTCTCAGGACTCTGATCTTAAGTCTCGGGGACGTTTAAGCACCCACCCCGGGTTGCCATCCCCAGCCCCAAAACACCGAGCCAAGTGTCGCACTAAAAAAAAAAAAAAAACACTCAACTCTTAGAGGAATCCAATGTAGATCCGTTGTTTTTGATAAGCATCCCCCACGTCCGGAAGCGAGTCGTTCCAGCAATGGATCTCAAAGTTGCCAGGTTGTGCCATTCAACTGAAATATTCTACATCGGTTTAAATGGGGGAACTCTGCCGTGCTGAGAAAAAACGCCGTATGAGCCTTTAGACGTTGCTGGATCTCCTAAAAGCGAATTTACTGGAAAAATTGTCAATTTTTTTAGATAATTTTGTTCGCAATTTAATCCAAAACATCTGAAAATGTCACGGAAAAATGAACCGCGGTAAACAGAAAGGAACCAAGCCACATCAGCTATTGCCAAATTTAATCGGGCAATTTAATTTTTTACTTGAAAACGGTCGTGCAGATTTTCGTGAAAATTTCAGTGAAAATTCTCCATGGTACGAAGCAAATTCCTTTAAATTTTCAAAGAAATCAACGAACGCTCTCTCGTAAAAAAAATAATTGCCCAGTTAAACTTGGCAATTGCTCATGTGGCTTGGTTCCTTTCTCCTAAACTCGGTCCAAATATGCATAACTTTCCTAAGAAATTCATGTTTTACCCGGAGAAATTTGGCAACTCTCGAATGTTCATACGGCGTTCTTCCTTAGCACGGCAGAATAGTGCTAATTTTTCAGCACGATCTGGCAGCAATGACGGATCTCCAGTCATCTTTTCCCTCGGCTCATGAATAATTTCCCGCTTTAATTTCAAATCAAACGCTCGGCCGATTCTTCTCGCGTCCGGACGTGCGGTCCCCGCTCGATACGTCGCCCCCCTGACGTATATCAATTTCCGCGTGAGCCCTGGAACGAAAGGGGGTATTAGGCATGTAGGGCTCATCACTGGATGTGGTTACGCAATTACGTCAAAGGAGCGACGGATAAATGCGTGCTCCCATCACGTCTCAAACGTTTTGAGGTGTTTTAAGTCGACCCGTGAGGGATTCCAAGGGATGAGTCCCATCGAATTTAACGGACCTACCGCCGTTTTTAAGGGATTTGAGTAATGGGCACGGAAACTTTCGGGAGCAGCTCCTTATAGCACACCAACACTGAAAAAACAGTATAGTAGATTTTACCATAATCGACACAGTGATCCGAGTATGGTAATAAAAACCAGACTCTTTGGTAGCATTTACCATATCATAGTAAGTGTCACTAGAGTTCTGGCGAATACCACTATAATTCTGGTTATTTCCACTAAATAGCTTCACTGTGTAAGAAATCAAGTATACTGATAGTAGATGTTACCATAATTTTTTTTTTTTCAGTGAAAAAACAAATTAGTTGTGAAAACGCTTTATTTTGATTTTTAAGAAATGTCTATAGAAACAATTGGATCGCGTTAAACAGAAAGGAACCAAGCCACATTAGCTATTGCTAAATTTAACAGGGGAATTTGATTTTTTACGAGAGAACGCCTGTGCGGATTCCTTTGAAAATTTTAAGGAATTTGCTTTGAATAATGGAGAAAATTCATAGAAATTTGCACAAAAATCCGCCCAACCGTTTCCATGTAAAAAATTAAATTGCCCGATTTAGGTAAAGAACCTCTCTGATATCGGTCGGATCTTTTCTGATGACAGCTGAATCTCCCGAAATATCGGTAGTTGAATCTCTACTGATGCAAGCGTATAGGTTTAATGATATCATTAGAAACCAGTCACTATGTTTGTGGGAAACTGTCCATTCTTAACTTAATGCTACATTGGTCGTATTTTTGCATGAGAAGTCAAGAGAAAACCTCCCCCTTCAATGAGTAGATTTGCGAAATTTGATCTCAGCTACCACTCATCCAACGAGTCGTTCTCGTTACTTGTGCTGCCGTGCTGAGGGAAAAACGCCAAACGAACATTCGAGAGTTGCCAATTTTTTTCCGATCAAATGTTTATTCTTGAGGAAAATTGTCGATATTTTTCCTTGAAATTTTCAGACTTTTTAGATCGAATTACAAGCAAAATTACCTGAGAAATGGGAAGAAAAATATTCGCACAAATTTTCTTGAAAATCAAGGATTTATCCAAAGAAATTTGGCTACGCCTGAAGGTACATACGGCGCACAGTGGATCGAGTCAATTAGAGAGGTCGTATATGAAATTCTTAACTGAAGCTGCAAATTTTGATGTTTACTTTGTCACATTTCCAATTTCAAGGGGTGTTTCTGTAGGCGAATTTCACAAGGAAGCCAATGGAACCACTTTCAGAACCTCAAAATCTTGTATGACGGAGTCATAAGCTCTTAAAGTTTCCAAATTGTGCGTCCGATCTCTCCTGTTGACTCGATCCACTGTGCGGCGATTCTTCCGTAGCACGGCAGTGTGGTTACCATCCCTTTTTTTGTGCCAACTGCGGGTGACATTACATAGGCGGCTAATGACTCTCTACGAATTTGGAGCGTCACATTTTTTTGGAGAGTCCCCGTTAAAACCATGCTGACAAATATAAGTCTAGATTTAATAAAACCTCAGGTATAATGCCGCACGAAGTGTTGAGGTGGATTATATCCCAGTTGGAGTCAACGCGTTTTAGTCCTTTAAGTCCCCCCGGTGCCGTGTAATATTATATTCCTGCTCGTAATTCATTTTTTATGACTTCCGCAGCGCTTCATGGTAACATCTTGGTCTCCCGAGTGTCATTAAACGCGTGTGCGCGTTGCGCTGTCAGTCTAGACTGAGGTGGAACGCCTCGAATATTTTAGCTATGCTGCAGATAGACCCGCTTTAAAGTAC